ATTCATAGGATGAGGTGAAAGCTACTGAAAAACTGTATGGCGTCATTGGCGTGATTCAGCGCCAATAGTTATATATCAGCATTCACTGGACCGAGGTTAACGTGTGGAGCTCATTCCTGTGCAACCAGATATTTTTCTATAATGGACTATGATCGAAGTGGGATCGATACACCAGTCTCCAGGACTGCGTTCCGAATTCCTTAATCTTCATATTTTTCTTTCGTTTAATGTTTTTAATGTGTAGTGTTTAACTAGAAACGTTTCGTCTAATTAGGGACCACTGATGAGTTCAGTAATTGCTCTGGGTCATTACCGCTACCAAGAAATTTGTCCTTCCTTAAGTGTTTAACGTCTGAAAGTTCTTCTATTAAAGATTAGCACATCACATTCGTGTTGCGTTTGTGAGGTTTGCATGAATTCAGGAGCGGTCGAAATCGTAGCTCTCTTATTTTCTGCTTGTTCTTTTTCTGTTGACAGGAATACTATGTGGAATAAAACCACAAAGATGCTGAATGTGAGGAAAGTTGTGGACCTCCGGTGGGTTTCAAACCCGCAATTACCCTTACCAGGAGCTCACCTGCTATCCACCATGGGTGGTTGCTGATAGCGTCGACGGAGTAAAAACATGACTGAGAAAAAGGCAGCCTCAGCTTGTGTAGTGGATAGCATGTAAGTCTATGGGAAGGGTAATCACAAGTTCAAAATCAAGATGGGGTTCCGAGTTTTGCTCATATCCCTGAAGCAGTGTTTACAGACATTAAAACATGGATGTTGTCGATGTGTAGCCTATGTACGCAATTGGGCAATATAGATGAATCATTTTCCTTACTTGAAGTTGAGAAAACTGGTCCTTGAATTTACACTGTAAATGGATCAGTTGTTGTTCTCTTCTCATTCAGCCAGTTTTTATCATGCCTAATCATAAATGTGGTTAACGATCGAATAAACCCGTATTCTGTACTGGCGACCGTACGGAGTTGAGATGGTTTCTGAAATGCCCTCATATGTTCTCCCTATGGGAGTGCCTTGCTCCCTACGTTGCGGACTCTCCGGTTAGTAGAATTCCGTGGAGAACTCGATTGTTACTAGTGATTCCAAGTTATTCCTTATCCGTCTAGATTTGTGTTGCTCGTATCGTATTGATAGTTTCGATCGATTTCTAGACATATGTTTAAGTTTTGGAGCATTTTCATCTGGAATATTTCTTCGGCTGCACAAGTTTTTTCTTTCGATAGATTTTGAATAGAATTTATAAATAGATGCATAGATAACTCTCACAATGTCGTGGCGAACAGGGACAATTTCCAGCGAGTCCTGCAGCGATTTTCCTGCAAATTTTGCGACTTGGGTGACGGTGAGTGTTTCAGATGAGGAGAGTACTGAGTTGTTTGATATAAGTACAAGTACCTCTAATTTCTGACACGAACTCGCTTGCGTAATCAATTTGTTTTCCCATAGTCAGTGTGTCACTGCAAACATTGCAAGTATAACCACAACGTTGCTGAGATATTTGCAAAACTCTGGACCGCAGGTGTCTATGGTGGGGAACGAACGCGCTATTATCCTTTCCGGGGAGTAACGCGTTCACCACCACACCATGCGGGTCCTTTGTTTCGCACGTCTCTCAGCTATTTCTATCGATCTTTTTGCCACAGCAATCACCCGTCAGCGGGGTTGATCTGGGGAGCACAAATCGGCATAGAACCCAGTTAAGCTATGGCTGTAGTTGAAATCACAATGTTTAACGTTTCGTTTTCTGCCTTCTATAATTTTCATGGCAGGTTACTAAGCGAAATACAACCACAACGTTGCTGAGATATTTGCAAAACTCTGGACCGCAGGTGTCTATGGTGGGGAACGAACGCGCTATTATCCTTTCCGGGGAGTAACGCGTTCACCACCACACTATGCGGGTCCTTTGTTTCGCACGTCTCTCAGCTATTTCAAAGGACCCGCATGGTGTGGTGGTGAACGCGTTACTCCCCGGAAAGGATAATAGCGCGTTCGTTCCCCACCATAGACACCTGCGGTCCAGAGTTTTGCAAATATCTCAGCAACGTTGTGGTTGTATTTCGCTTAGTAACCTGCCATGAAAATTATAGAAGGCAGAAAACAAAACGTTAAACATTGCAAGTATAATTAGAACTATGGTGTTTCGATAGTCAGTTTTCCTATATCAAGTTTTTTTTTCGTATGTCCATCAAAGGGAACCGCCTCCATTCTTTGCATTTCGAACGGCTCTTCACAGCACAGCTATTTGATGGTAGAGAAACGCCGTCAGTTCAGGGATGACTCAGACATACTGGAATTTTGACTTCCCTTTTTGCAAAAATTTATCAAGGAAAGAACTTTTGTGCAAACCCTTTCAGGGTGTTTGTGTGTTGCTGAAGCTATTTAAGCCCCAACGAAAGGCACGATAACTAAAACTCTCTTCTTTAAAGCAACGGACTTGTCCGTCGTGAATCGTTTCGAGCTGATGCGCCTTCATGGAAATGCTGGGGGGAAGTATTGTACGACATGTTTCCAAGAAAACCCAATCCAGTATGTGCGCATTCTCACTGGTGGATTCTCCTTGCGTTCACAAAATGTGTCTGAGCGATTGGCTGAAATAAGAAATGGATACATATCTTCAATGAAAAGCAGAACTTTATGCAGCATTTGTTGGAGTTCTTCAAATTTAGGGAGTACGATGCTGTCTGTTCGCCTGTGTCCATGAACTTTTACCTGGCTGTCGCCCTCGATAAGTTATAGTTTTGATGAGTTGGCTGGAATTTTAGTGTTACGCATTCTGAGTGCTGTAATAATGTCCCTGGTAAACTTGACTAACTTGGTTCCATAAGAGTCGCTCAAATGTAGGATGTATTTGCTGAACTTTTTTGATGTTTTTGTCAGTAAAGAAGTATTTTGCAAGATCTTTGTATTGTTCCGCAATTTACGTTGACAAGTTAAATAAATGGACCAATTCCAAAGAAATTCGTACGTCAAGTGTGTCAGCACTCTCCGCGAATTGTAAGTTAGGCAGCAGCCTCCCAATTGTGGTTCTGTCATAAACTCCTGTTCAACAGAATATTTTCCCCCAGCTGGGACTTGTAGATCGGACTCGAATAACACTTTAGCCTTAGCACTATAATTATCGTATATTTTCATCTCTTCAAGTAACTGCTGGCTGCCGTGTTAAATCTCTTGCCGTTCTTTCGTTCACAAAAAATCTCAAGTATAAGCCATAATAATCAGAACATGTGTCGTTCATGGTATCGAACTATAGAAACAGTTGTACCACCACAAACTGATTCTCATAGACACCCTTACCGATCATCAGGCAACCTAATCATCTTCGTTTTTTATCTTCCTTTTCACAGTCTTCAGGTTGTTTAACGAAAGGCAACAAGATTCCTCCTTGTGTTCAGCGTCCTTAGCCTCTTTTTGTACTTTTTCGAAGAGTGGTGAATGGATAAGTGCAATTTGTCTTCCACCAGCGTAGGCTCAAGAGTGGAGAACTTAGTTTTTTACTAGTATTTGATTGCTTGCTTTTTGTTCAGCACGAGGTGGATATCGCATGAAATGAGTAGATATAAAAAACTTTTGAAAATGTCAACGTATATGGTGCCAAAGCGATGCCCGAAAAGTGACAAAAATTGCAACTGTCTCAAGAACAAGTTTTCTCTTCTACCACAAAAAGATTTAAATTAGTACGACTTCTGCTAGATGGTCATAGATGGTTAGATGTTAGTCGTGGCATGTAATCTACGGATTTCAGAACTTCCTAACATTCAAGTCTCTTTCCTCGCACTCAACATTTATCGCGTTGTTTCGAGTGGTGCTTGAGGATTTCGTCTTATTTATGAACGTCGTATAGTGCTGGTCAACTTGATTCTTCTTGCAGTCATTGAAATGTACGAACTAAGGCGTCCCCACGCGGATTGGAGGAGAGTGTTGGTAACGGTGCCGAAATAGTATCTCGCTTCTTAATGGACTGCATCACTAACCATTCCGCTACCCTCCTTCCTAATGAGATAACTATCACAAAAGATAGAAGCAGAAAAGAAAAAAACGATTTTCGGGGAGACAAGTGGTTGTGGTTCTTCCCAACTTTCACAGTAGTCTCACGAACACTCCTCACACGTGTTTACGAGCACGTATTCTGATGTTCAATGACCACCTTCTTGACGACTACGATTTGTCAAAATAAAATCAGAGATCGTGGTCACGTAACAGGTTTTTCCACTGTTAAACGAAAAAACCTTTTTTTGGAGAAGTTACATGCACTGGTTACAAACCATGTCTGCGGTATATTTCAGTGAAAAATGTTTTTGGTTTACAAGAAAGGAATTCTTCTTCTCCTATTCAACCAATTTGATTAAATGGCTTTTCTTTCTTTGCACATGGGCACAGTTTTCCCCTTTATTTTCTTGCGTATTGGCTTGCCGTGTTCCACCTTATTCCATTTGTGAACGCTGTACTTTTTTCTTACGTCCTTGTTCTGCATCTATCTGAATACCAGTATTTACTTGTTTTCTTTGTTGAAGTCACCTGTTTACAGGCATTTAGAATAGATTATGTAATTGTATAACTAGGTGATCGTATTCGGTGTATTCGAATTCTCTTTTGAATAAAATCTGTCGGAACCTTTCATTGACGAACTGGGACAACTTCTTTTGTTGCCTTTTCATTTCTTTTAGTTGTTTCTTGTATTTTCCCTGAAACGAGTCTGGTATCCTCTTTTCCTAGCGTTTTCGCTGTTCCGCTGCCATGATTAGACCGGAACGGTATCATTTGTTTCTACAGCAATACGATTTTAAGGTTAATTTGTATTATGTGGTTGTAAAACGACGTAAAATCTTAATGTGAAGATCGATTCTCAAATGATTTTTTCACATGAAACGTACTAATATATTGTCATACCTCATTTTATCATGTCATTTATCTTATGTCATACCTACTTCTCATTTTTCCTTCATTTCGCCTTTTTTTTTCTAGCAATATCGTAAATTCCAGAGCGAATGGGTAAGGACAGAGACCCCGGGGGCCAGGCGATGAGTTCAAAGGACCCAAAAATACAAGCAGCTAAAATTCGATTACTGGATGGAACATGCAAAGACTTTGAACTGCATGTAAGTTGTTTCCATAGCTAATGTTTTTTTCTCTTAAAATTAATGTTACTGTTTTGATTTGTAAATTTAGCGGTGATCCGTCATTGTTCAATACAGCTTTTTGGATCCACCACTAAAACCTACCTTTTTACAACTTTTGAGCTGTTGTCAAGTTCACAGCTTTGCACAAAAGAATAAAATGAAGGATAAAGCTCTTGGCGTTGATCAATCACTGAGAGATGCGCCATGCATTCGACTTCACTAAATATCATTGGAGGTGATTAAATGCATATCTACCCTTTACAATGACTAGCGGTGGCCTACCGATGTAGCGAGCCAATGCTGTGATCCTCCCAGACAAGTCTGGTACCAATTTGTCGACCACAGAGAGATGGAAGGCTTGGTGAGCTTCCGCCGCAGAGATCGTTCCCATGTTTGCATTGCAGAGCGCCTCCGACCACTGGGCTGCGCGCACCCGTTTGCACAAATGGGATATAATTTATTGCGGGTGAGGTTTTCCTCTTTACCCACACCGGTTCTTTTTGAGTTGTTTTCAAATTTTGGTTATAGTGTATGGTTTTAAAGACATCAGAAAATTGCATTCGGATCATTTTAGGCCGCGCGTTCGTCATACCATCAAAGTTGTAGTAGTGATATTCCAAAATTTTATTTTGACTCACATACATGGTTTGAAATATTTCAGCGCGGTTCAGACGGCGAAGCACTTTTTACACTCGTAAGTGCCGATCTGTCCATCGAGGAGCGTGAATACTTCTCTCTGTGCTTTTATGACACTGAGGGAACTAGACATTGGCTATACAACAACAAAAAAATACTCAGACAGCTCAAAGGTAATCACTTGCAGATACCTCCTTACTTTATGGCAACCGGTTCATCGTGTAGTAATTCCAAGGGCAGAGTGTCTGTTAACTTGGGTGTTCATCGGTAATGTTCTGTCTTTCCTCTCCGTTGAAGTTCGAAAGTATTTAGCTGGGTGGACTTCGCGTTACTTTGACTGTTCCAAATTTTAATGAAACCAAGATCCGTTAAAAAGCTGGCCAGTGTAAAATAAATAATGTAATAGCAACGTCGTGTCTACTCTCCAAGCAGACAGTAATTTACATGAAAGCCGTCTTTATACTAGAAACTAGAATCACCCTTATCAGAGAAAATTGGATTCTACTCTTTCAAGTTTAATGACGCCACGTTATTAACCAAGCTTGATGTCGCATTCATTTAGGTCTTCCGTGGGAGTTCTGTTTTGAAGTCAAATTCTATCCGACCGCACCATCCTCGCTAAATGATGATCATGCGCGCTACAATTTGTTTCTTCAGTTGCGAAACGACATATGTTCCGGCCGGTACTTATAAGCTTTTTATAACATAAGGTTAAGTATTTCGAAGCAGAAATTTCGAGTCTTAAAGTAGTTAACCATCATGAAGTATGGCGAGACATGGTGTACGGTTGACCATGTGTTTTACATGTGCTGAATGAAATATATAACTTGTGATAAATTAGATTGTGTGAATGATGTTTTCGCAGTAGGAAAGGTTGCGTGTTTCAGACAATAATACCTTAACCCAAAGCTTACGTTGTGCATTTCATTCAATAGTACGAAGTGCTTCGACTCGCCGCTATGCGAAGTCTTCTCCTACACCTCGTGCAATCAGTAGATAGGCAATTCAACACTGATGATGTGACTGACTTTAGCGGGAAAAGCCTTCTTCTACACTTACAAATATGCGAAAAATATATGAATGAGTTCATTGACCATTAGTTTGATTAGCAGTTAACCTCTATTTAAACTTTAATCATTATAATGAATCATAACTATCGGATTGATTGTGTGAGTATGGAAATACAGAAATAGGCGCGAAACGTGGGCTGCAGAAACATCCAAATGTTGATGGCAGTGTGTTTTTGTTAGAATACACGCCCTTGATACACACAGAGCGATAAAACGAAGTCTGTTCTACACCAATGTTATGTTCCCAACTCTTGAAGTCCTCCAGTTATCGGAAAATTACCGTTTACTGCAAGTTTGCAAAGGTTGAAAGCTACGCACAGTCCCAAGTAATGTTGACGCTGAGAGAAGCGTTGGCGTTGTGTGTTAATGTTTGTAAGATTTTGTTTTATTGATACGCGATAAAACAGTTACTGCCATCGGAAAGTCCTGAACTAATCTAATTAGTATAATATTTGTCGTAATCTTTTATCAACAAAATATTACGACGTATAGTTCTTGTGTTATAGGCTACCAGCAACAATTGACACATATGCTACACTGGGTTCTCTAGTGGCACAGTCGGAATTTGGTGATGCTAAACCGACCAGTGAATACGAGCACTATTTGAGATCAACAAAATTCGCCCCTCAAAGTAGCGAACAGATGATTGGAATGATAGCAGTGAAGCATAAAGAACACAAGTTTGTGCCGTTTTATGTTTTCCTTGATTTTTTTTTACAAGGCATTTTAACCATTGTTGGTGTACTGTCCTCAGCGTGGTGTTGCCGTCATTTTTAGCTATTCTATCTATTTTACGCGAGCCGTCTTCACTTCAACTGTGCGGATCGCGGCACTTTTTCATTCGATTCGCCTCCTCTCATCTGCGAAGGTCTTCGAGCTTTCTGCATGCGGATTTGGTTACCGCTTGAGGATTGTTGTCTTCTTTAAGAATGTCGTTGAATGCTGGTTGAGTCGATTCCACCTCGAGTCTGGGATTGCTGCACTGGGGCGTCCTCACATGGTTTGAAGAAAGTAGGGTAATCCCAGACAAGTCCGTTACCACTTTCCTGAATTTAGAGTGTTGGGGAGCTCGGTGATCCTGGCATGAGATTGATTGTATTTCACATAATATCCTATCATGAAATCTAATAGGCAGTAAATAAAAGGCTAAGCATTGTGATTTTGACTGCAACCTCAGTTTAACTAAGTTCAGTGCCGATTTGTGCTTCCCAGAACATTCCCGTTGACGAGTGGAACCGCTATGGTGAAGAACTCGTTGAGGGAAAGGCAAAACAGGGCATAACTGGTGCAATAGTCAACACATGAGCCCGTGGCAAGAGTAATCACAGATCCGAACCTGGTCCGTGGTCCGAGTTTTCCAAACATCTGGGCCTCGTTATGTTTTTAATATATCTTCACAGGTAGTGTGTAGCACATTGATTAGAAGTACCGTACAACGCATGCGTGGTCCTTGCTTCAATCCCACATTGCGCTAACCAAACCACCTACACTTCCTGGTTCACACTGTCCTAGAAAAGGCTGCTTTCCATTCTCTAAGACTGGAAATTAAATCTGGTGAAAGCGCGCCAACACGTTAGCTTTCCAAGGACTTTAAAGAGAATGGAATCACGCTATACAGGTATTCATCGGCATATATGAAGGTGAAAAAATGCTTCAGTTGCAGAGTAACCTTTATTCGGAGTGCTGTAGATAACGGATTAAAGAAACAGAATTGTATGGTATAAGTGATGGCACCTGCTCAACATGTTGAAAACTGTCATATAAATAGGATTGAAACATATATAAGCGGATTAAAATAATTTCAGAGTAGGATATTTTTAGGCCTATTTTGTTGTTTTTAGAGGGCTTACCTCAGGTGAAGCTGAAAGTTTATATATGGACACATGTAAGCAGCAATCTATGTATGGAATTTTTGTATTCAATGCGAAGGTACAGTTGTAATCGTTTAGTTTCCTCTTCGTGTTGCCTTTTTGTTTTCCATGTCATCTTTTACATACAGGACAATAAGGGCGTTTCTGTTGGAATTGGTGTCTGCGCACATGGTATTTACATATACAAGGAACAAATCCGTGTTAACCGATTTCCTTGGCAGGGTATTATCAAGATTAGCTATCGTAAAAATCAGTTCGCGATAAAACTGAAAGCTGGAGAGGTTTGTTCTTTGGATCTGGAGAATTTCATGATTTTATGCTATGAAAGTTTTCGTACACAAACGCGAAAGACTCTTCAGGTTGACAAGAAAGAGGTCACAGTTGTATACAAATTCAAAGACCATCAACATGCAAAACGCACTTGGAAGTGTGCTGTCGAACACCATACTTTCTTTAGGCAATAATTTTTTTGATCGTCTTAGTACAATTAATGCTGCTACTTTTGCGCCACGTTTTACTGTTGTCCTTTAGGCTCATTCAACCGGATGAAAAACCGAAATCATCACTGTTCCGATGGGGATCAGCTCGCTTTCGATATCAGGGGCGCACTCAGTTTCAAACGAAAATGGCCTCACAAATGTTCGACAAACCAACTGTAGCAGAAGTGCAACGTGCTGGTAGTGCACGTCTCACTCACTCGCTGGATAACGGTTTGTTTTTATTGCATTGCATAGATGTGGTATATCCAGTTGTATTTGTTTCAAAACGAAAGTTTTGAATTGTTTATCAGAAGAGGAACTTCACTGAGAGTTATATTCAAGAATTTTGCAGAGTTTATGTAGTGGTCGCCAAAACCTTTAATCATGTGTTCGTATTTTAGTTGCAAAGGAGCAATTCGTAGGATGTCACGTTTCTCCCCTGCATTACGCGGATAATGAACTAGGATCATACGAGGTACGGTGATCATATATTCCGTTTGAAATAGATGTGAATAAGCCGTCACATTTTCTGCGCTTCCTCAGAGTATATCATGTGCGTTCAACTATACTGTTCACGAGCTGCCAAAATTCTATTCCGTACGGCGCGTGTGGCGCAGTGGATGGGAGCGCCACTGCGACACACTCGTGGAATTTATCCCCTCGCCCGATGTTACCAGACTTGTCTGCGAGGATAGCAGCATTGGCTCGATACATCGGTAGGCCACCGCGAGTCATTGTAAAGGTCAGATATGCATTCATTCAATTCCAAAACGATGCTGAATGAAGTCGAATGCATGGCGCATCCCTTAGGGGTAGATCAGCGCGAAGAGCTTTTTTAGCCTCTATGTCATTGATGTGGAAGACGAACACCATTCTCGTTTCTCTATTTTCATGCATTGTCTTGTGGTATAGGAGTGAACAAGACGATGTTTTCGTTGTACTGTTAACTGTTTTTGGCAGCGAAATGTGTTTCATACTCCATAATTGCATAGTAAGTAGTCGAACTGCAACTGAGAAAAGAGAATGATTGTAACTAATAATCGTTTCGCAAATTTGTTTTGGTATGAGTCGGCCGTGTTAAGTGGCGTCCATAATGATAGTTAGAGCAACAAAAGGTTAAAAGGTGGCCTAAAAAAGATATGTGTGGGTAATAGTCAGATCGGTTGTCGTATTTCGTTGTAAAGAATCCAGTTCTTCCGTTTAACTTTTGCTAAATTTGCAGCCAATGCCTTCTCCTGCAGCTTGCTACGACATCAGTGGTCAAAGAGAAAATCGAAAGCTCAACGACAAGGTGGGTAATGACCTCCCAACTAGAGATGATGATGATGATGATGATGATGATGGTGATGATGATGATGATGATGATGATGATGATGATGATTATGATGATGATGATGATGATGATGATGATGATGATGATGATGATGATGATGATGATGATGATGATGATGATGATGATGATGATGATGATGATGATGAGCTTGTCTACACGCCTATTGAATCGCCGTTGTGTGCTGCTTATTATCCTTATGAAAACTCATGTGCAACTCCACCTACTTCAAATGAGTTCATATTATTACAGAGCTTAAAACATACTGCCCCATATCTTTGCCAAACATCGAATCGAAATGACTTAACTTCGATCCGTCACACATGTTTAGAATCAAGTAGTAATTCATATTCTTTCCCTTGTGGTCATTTATCAAACGGTCTCATAAACTCTACCGTAAGGCAACCAGACGTCGAGGAACATCCGATCAGCGATTACGTGCAGGTATATCACTCTGGACATTACCATAATCTTAATCATGGAGTTCGATCTCAACAGCTGAACCTTCGTGGTTATAATAACCACCGAAATGGCATTGCTACTATTCACCGAATCAATCCAAATAATGAGCTGGATTATCACCCAATTCGCTACTTTGTGGACGTACAACATTCAGGATTCAGTTACATGCCTCGCATACGCAGATTGCGACATCCAGGACATGAGGAAATTCGTGATGCAAAACCGTCTGACTACCTCTTTGAAACATTATCGAAGGCACGTTTAGAGCGTTTAGAACCTAGCGAAGAAATTACGGTTCACAATATTCAGAAGTACTCGTTAGTGTATCATCCTGGATATTCTCATGTTTTTCACCGGAAGGGTTTAAATCGAAATATGTCGCCGATACGGTTAGTCGCAAGAATATTACCGACATCACCATTTCTGAAAAAATCACGGCGTGAAACTCAAAACAGTGAATTTCAGCACTGCCTTGTTTGTGACAAATCAAGTACAGAAGCATTTTACGGTAAGGAAATATCGAAGCTCCACAAATTTTCAGTACCAAAAATGTGCGGCGAAACGGTGAAACCCGTAGAAAATGGTAAAAAATCCCAGCGAATAACTAAAAATAACGACAAAAGCAACTTGGCATTGGACACGACTGAAAAGTGGTCAAGTTTAACAAATACTCATCACACCACCAACAGTAACGAAGTGGTGAGCAAAGACGTTACTCACACACTTTTTACCGACCAGCATGAAGGGTACTCACCTAACCGATGGCGATATGACTGCCATGAAGAAGTTGAAAAAGATCACGTTCGAGAAGAGACTTATGGCATAGCGTCTACGTCGTACGATGACCAGCTTGAACTAATAACTAAGAAGTCTGATCTACAATCAGCGCCGTTGCGAGAACATGTTCAAACAAATCTTCATGGTCATTCGTGGGATTCTATAAAGGATTCGAAGACTGGACATAATCTGAGTGCTTCAACGTCGAAAAAAGCTAGCGGAGAAGACACTGCGCGGCAGATTCGATTAATTGCGCGCGTACCGCACATTGCGTTAGCAGATGATTCCGTTTCAACTAAAGATAAAGGTAGGCAGAGTGAGGATTCAACTGGGCTTCTTGGATTCTGGAAACCAGGTAATCGTAAGCAGGATTCTTTAGCATTATCAGCATATCCTAGTAGTGATAAATATGTTGGACCGTTAGATGACATCAATCGTCAGAATGATATTGACCAGCTTCTTTTCGACGTTCCAGATCCGGCCGTGTGCAAACCTACCGCTGAGCCTTATGACAACATTCATCATCGTGTGCGTTTGATTGCTCGTTGGAGACACGACGGCGATGAAGAAGTTGTTGAGAAAGATCAAGTTCGGCCAG